ATGACTGTAGGTAGCATACCTAATGCTGAGAGCCATCAAACAAGTTATGTAGCTCCTGTAGCCTCCTTCTGTCCACCCCTACTGAACTAGACATCTTTTCTGTTTGCACCAATGTTTCAACCTTAATTTCCTTTTTGCTCACTCTCCCTCAAGATTTACTGTACCCCACTCCTTGCTTCTCTATCTTTTTATAAAAAAAAAAATGAAAAAATTGTCTCTTTATCCCACCTGAATCCAGGACTGCACAGAAGGCCAGAACTTATTTCTGAGGAGTTTGTGAGCGTCCATGACATTGTTTATTATGGCAGTATTATCTTCATTTTCATGCACTTTTATATCTGCTCAAAACAGGGGAAAAAGGAGTTAGTGCGCCATGTTTATAGTATCTTCACTACAGGAGCTAAAGAAGATAAGCAGAAGAAGTAGATGCGAACCTTTCTAAAATATTTGATCACTTCAGGGAAAACTACAAACATCATTACAAACAGTTCAGTACTAATTATTCTACTGTTACCCACACATTAAACAAAAAAAAAAAAAAAAAACAGAAAAAGAAAGCTTTCAGTCCAGTGATGACAGAACGAGTTGTTAAGCCATCACTACTAAGGAATCACTAAATAAACCACAGACAAGTGCAGTCTTACTATTTACATTAAATCTTGTCCTAAGTTCCAATCAATGGACTGGGCCTCATTGTACCAGTTTCTGCATATTCAATATTTAAAAAAAAAAAACCCAAAAAAAACCTCTGCCCCAGTGGCAATAGGGACTTGCTCGTCAAAGAAGCCAAGTATGCCACTACTCTAGTAAAAACAGTACTTCTCACCTGTTAGTCATTCATGAGCCCCACAGACACATTTCCAATTCTGTTGTCTGCAAGCACAGAAGTAGGTACCTGTCCTACTGGCTGTTTGCACACGATATTCCGTTAGGACTGTATTTGCAAGAGACTTCACTTAGACTACCAAAACACAAACCACCCTAACTTTTCTAGAGGTAATTCATATTAGCAAAGTTATCTAAAAAATGGTATAATCATAACCCTTAAGACTTCCTAGCAAAACTCTACTTATTACTTCTTGCAAGTTGTCAGTAGCAAGGAAAAAAAAAAGCGCTTACGAAACAGCCAATTGTAAGGTTTTTAAATTAGTAGCTTATATCCCAGCTATAGAGAGAAAAAAAAGAGGTGAATCATGAAGCATACAGAAAATAAAATTATATACTGTAAACAGATTGTAATTTTTTTTTAAACACAGGAAACTCACCTTATTCCAGGTGCTATGAACTGCTGCAATATGGTTACAATAACCAATACAAAATTTCAATCTTAGAAGGTAATTAATAAAATCTGTAAGTCGCACACAAGGACACCCAAACCTAAGAATGGTTACTAGATGAACGAGAAACAGAAAAGAACTGCAGAATAAATGGTGTTCAGGAACCCCAAGCATTTAAGACATAGGAAAAAAAACCCAAACCAAACAACTACAAAGCACTTCAGACAAAGGCTGTCTCCAGCTATATGTGAAAAATTTTTCCAGGTACCTGTGGAGATTTCAAGGTCTAGAGTATACTTATGCGAAATAAGCCCATGGTTCCTAACAAAAGTCTGGTAATCATCATCATCGAGAGCAGGGACACCAGACTGAACTTCCAAGCATGTGCCTCCATCTAATTCTTTCTGCTCAGGCTTCTCCTGTTTCTCCTCTGACTCTTCGTTTTTATCAGTTCTAACACACTGAGAAACAGAAAGAATGTCCTTGCTGCAGCATGGCTGTTCATCATCCATGCATCCAAAATAGGACTGGTTAACTTCCATCTGGGAGGACAAGGGGGATGCAGGTCTGTCCTCATTAGCAGTCATTTGTTTGTTGGGTTCCAGTTCCGTGTCGCTCACAGCAAAGTCGAAAGGATCTGGCATCAGAAGCCGGAAACAGTTTTCCATCTCTGTCAGTGTGTCGGCAACCTCTTGGGACATTTCTATCAAAAGACAATTGGTTTAGAATATTGTTAAACACTGTAAAATGCTCATGTCTCCAGAGCAGACAAAGATTTACAAAACAAATGCAACTGCCAAAGGGGTAATCCATTTATCCAGTAATCAGTGATAATTTATCCATACAGATCTTTCTCCACTGCAGAAATTGTCTTTACAAAAGTGACAATAGTTTTCTTAAACAGGAAATGTAGAACTTCCTGAGCAACAAATTTAAAATCAGTGTTCCTCCTTTTCCTATCCTCTCTAAAATTTCACTATGCATCAAAGATAACACAAATACTTCAAAGAATTTGAAGGAGAACAAGGTTCAGTGAGGATATTCTTAGAGATGTTGGTGAGTATTCATTCTACAGCCATGAACATTATAGGTGCTTGTAGGTGTAGCCACGTATATATGCTATTGCTCAAAGAGATACTACCAATAAAAGTGACTTTAAGAAGGTTAAATCTCTTTAAAATCCCACCTTCACGCATGAAAACATTTCTAGCATGCAGAATAAATGCAGACACAATTGGATGCATTGCACATACCAAAGTAATTTAATTAAATCACCCTTTGTAACTGCAACATAATATACTTACTATCTCTGTTCTTCTTTCGTATTACAGAAATACGTTTGCTATGTACGTATCGCTTAGAGATTCAGCCCCCAGTTAAGACACATTTTTTAGCAGCAGTATGATACTTTTCATAGACATCCTACACTGCATCCAGGACTCCTGTGCAGACCATTGCCTATACTTCTCGAACATGATGACTCTACATACAATATAATTAAGGTCATCAGCCAACAAGGTATTGAGAAGTCTGTGCCTAGTCATAGACTCAGAAATTAAGCCACTAGCTCCAAAAAGTCTCATGATATGCTTGCTTGAGGTTATGCATTCATACTTTACCGAATTACAGATCAGATCTTGCTAACATTTTTTTTTTTTTTAAATCTCTTCATACTACCTGAGCTCACAGGACTGTCACTGATATTCCTTAGGTGAGAGAGACAGAGGGTCAAGCTCTAACAAATGTACTATTCTCGCCCTCTATGGTCAGCTAATATTTGGATAGCTATTCTCTTAGAATTTGTTTTATATAACCTTAAAAAAGGTTGCTTTAAAAACAAACCAAAAAAACCCCAAAAGAACCAAAGCAACTCACCTTCCATTTCTTTTTCAGCTCTTTTGGCTTTTTCTTTGTAAATGTTATCCAATCGTTTTTGCTTCTCCTCTTCCCTCCTCCTTTCAGCCACGGTTCTGGCATGCACATCTTGAAAATCCACCTAAGGAGGAAATGAAGAAAAAAGTGTAATGTTCCTCATAAGAAATATATAGAAAATCCATTTCCTAAGCTCCTTATCTGTGGTGAAAAATTCTCTAACATCAGCGATCAGCCAGAAGCTCAGCAGTACCTCCTTTTATCTCTTCTCCTCCTAGAATCAATAACTACAGTAATTCTGAACGGAGTTTTTACTTCTACTAATAAGGGACTGCTGAGAATCAATGGCTTTCAGAAAGGAATCATAAGGTAGAAAAACAAAACGCTTAGATTTCTACATCTAAATTGCAGGAATAAACTAGGCTTTGGGAGACCTCTGTCACAGCATTGGAGGCACGGGGTTAGGGGGAACGGGCAGGAAGAGACTACACAGGGTAAGTATTCAAATTATATGAAAACGTCACACTAGGTCTGCTATTAGTAAAAGAAATTTAGGAAAATTTGTAAGCACTATTACCACAAGTATACATATCACTTACTGAAGAACTTCGTAAGCAAGGAAAGTAGAAGAGAAGACATTCAAATTCATTAAAAAAGACCAAATTGTGGATTTTACAATTACATTTGTTGGATTTGGGGACTGAGGGAAAGGTTATCATTCAGTCTCACTTTACTTTCTTATGACTAAAATATAAACATAAATCTGAGTGATTCAAAACACTGTTTCTTAAAATATTTGCAATGGGGTTTTTTTAGTTTGTTCTTAGAAGGGCTTGAAAACGCAAATATTTTTCACTTCTATTTTAAGGAAAGGAGTCTTGACTGTGTTATTGCATAAGGAAACCCCTTCGAAAAAGAAAAACACAGTATTTCCTTTTGATTGCTACCACATTCTTAGAAGGCTTGAAAATGCAAATATTTTTCACTTCTGTTTTAAGGAAAGGAGTCTTGATTGTGTTATTGCATAAGGAAACCCCTTCGAAAAAGAAAAACACAGTATTTCCTTTTGATTGCTACCACATAACTTTCATTAACTTCAATACAGATTACGTTGAGTGCTGAGCAAGCCCGTACTTTGCTGCTAATAAAGTCCACAGACTCTGGTGCTATGTCTATATTACAAGTACCCATTGAACGACTGTCATTATTGCCACTGCTAGATGATGAAGCTTGTCAACATACTGTAATGGTTCCCAGATACTGACATCCTACACCAATGCTTTGGAGCCACACAAGAGTATAAAACAGTGAAGTTGAATCTCACTTACGAGGTACAGGTCCAGACAACGCTGAGATCATTCTACACAGGACAACTAAGTCTCACTTTCTGTCTAGTCCCAGAAGATCGCTCCTGTAATATGTACACGAACTTACTAGCCATGGGTCAAGCAAACCAAGTAGTTCATCCTACAGCTGCAGTTTGCATAGTTTTTGCACAATCAAGAATTTTGTTGGTCTCTCATCTCAAAATTACAGAAACTTTTTCATATTTGTTTAGCATTAAGCAAGTAGGTAACTCCATTAAACACTATGGAAGTTAAAAAACAAATGCTTGAACTTGGGCTTAACCATGTGCTAGAGTAAAGTATCTTGCTATATAAGTGTTCCTATTGCTGAATAATCCCTACAGTGTGCAATAGGCCTTAAGGTTTTTACAAGTATTATTTATGCAAACACTTTAAAGACAAATGGGTTTTATATAAAAGCTTCTAGGAGCGAAAGGATACTTCAGCTTTCACAGAAACTGGCATGGAGAGTCTCCATTGGTTTAGGAAGAGAAGCACACTTACCAAGCTCTTTTTTTATTAGGGAATGGGGAAGCAGAGGGGAGGTAGGGAAAAGAGCTAGTTTCACAACCTATAGCAGCACGTGCATCACCAGGGTGAGCTTTTTGGTTTTCAGGATCTGATTTTTCTACCAAGTTCACATAGCTCTCCACACAGCAGCAGGAGAAACAGATCCTCCCAAAGAGCAACATCACCCTCAAAAATGGAACAAAGATACAGAGCCCAGGAGCTACAGTACCCAGGCACTACAGCTACCGTTTCTAGGTGGTCAGATTGGACTTGCCCAAAAAAACAGAGACAGCTAGAGCTTTCTAAATCACAACTTCTGCCTCATACCAGAATACCTACAGTGAAGTCACTTCCCCACTCTTTCCCCTTCTCTGTCCCAAAAGGACTAGCCATGTGCTGCTCTGCTGTGTTGTTTCATACTTCAGCACTTGGCCAGATGTTCCTCTTACAACATCTGCCAAATCACCATGTTTTGCCATTGATAATGAGAGCGCACCTCACATACTAGATATCTATCACCAACCAAGTCTACAGCACACAACAAAGCTTTGAGTTGCCCAAAACAGGGCACACCGGCCTTTTACAGAAGCCTCACGAGGTGAGAATAACTCAGGGCCTGAGTTACAGATGTGCGCACGGACTCACTCGCTACCTGGGCTCAGCACTAACTCAGAAACTTGGTCAGAAAACATCTAACCTCATTTAGGTGCTATAGACTGAGATCAGAGTTGTTGTTCTGCCTCTGTCAGTGCTGGCTACATGAAGCCTTTTACCATTGGTCTGCAATTATGGAACTGGACATGATGGGTTGCAAACAATTTTTCTTGATTTGAAGGGTGTAAGTAGTGGGCCTAGACAACTACTGCGACTTTTGAGAAAATGTTGCAGTACAGCAGTAAGATACTCTATATTGAGCTCCTTAAAATCCCGTTCACTCCATAACTGCAGCTCACTGTAGTTCCATCCATGCGTTCCTCAAACACAAAGATGCTATAATATGACTCAGTTGCCTAAATATGCAAACATTTGGAAATATTGGAAATCTTTTCCCCCCACACCTTTCTTCTTTTTTTAAGCTTTGAGACAGGAGTTTGAAAACAATTATTTTCAGATAAACTGAAATATTATGCGTTCTTGAAGTCAAACATTTATATAGGTAGCTACTTGGTACCTACTAATATGGACCTACTAACATTAAAACAGTGGGTAGCTCGCCAGGTTTACACCCTAAAAGAGCAGCAGTTGTCATCTTCTGACCAACTGTTTATAAGGTGATTTTGGTGATGATAAAAAAAAAAAAGAAAAACCAAAAAAACCAGTCAACAACCACAAACACAGCTAACGCTCCTCCCAAGTTGCCCTATACTACTGTGCCAAACCTGTAATACAGAACAGCAGATGTACTTTACTTCTAGAAAGTACAAATGCCTCCTCAAATCTTTTGGTTGCTTCTCACACTTCAAGTATTAAGCTGGCAAAAGGCCAGTTAAGTCAGCCGGCTCATCTCAACTCTAAGTACAGGAGTTATCAAACTACGTAAGATTGTTTCTATTGGTGCTAATGTTTCTAGAAGTACTTATATTCAGCTGCTCTAGAAAACAGTACAGCCAACCTTGCTGGGTAGCTTAGTATCACAAACATACAGAGTGATCACCCAGTCGTAACTGGGGAGCAGCCATTAACCACAGAGGCCCAGACAAACACGCCAAACCTCAGCAGACTTGTCGTACACTCCTGTGTTCAATCTGCTAAATCTGTATTATGTGTCAAAGCTCTCCCGCCTCAGTCTTGCATTTCCCCTTGTCACTTTCATTTACGGGTTTTTTTTTCCTTTATTAAACAAGACAATAAGGGAGGATTCAAAGACAATCACCTTTTGCGAGCAGATGCCAGAAATTGTATAGAAAAAGAACACAGTATGATAAATAATACAAGTAGGGTATGCTATTAGCTTAGTATGGAACCAGAACAACAGAAATACATCATGTATCACAAAAGTTTTTGATCTACTGTTAGGAACACTGAATATTTGTCTTTCTGAAGAGAAAGAGAATCAATGTTTATTGAAAGCCTGATATTATCATTGTAGATAGTGTGAATGCTAGAACAGCGTTCCCAATTTCATTGTTTGCACCTCAGAAGAGATACTGAAAGAGAAGAATGTTCAAAACATAATAAATTGAAGCCTAGAAGGGAGAGCTAAAAGCAAGGGTTTACATACAAGAAATTCCTCTTCAATAAAACTTCTATGACGCAGAGTAACACTGCAGCTGAGGGGGGCTAGCACCTCCACTTACTGTCATTGTCGTACAGTGAAAGGACGCTAGAACCAGACAGCTCAGTACAGAAATCAGGCTAGTTTAAACTTGCATAGAAAGACTTAGTAGTTTAAACCTTCATAGAAAAACTTAGTAGTTGATTATCCTCAGTTTAAGGTGCAACCATTATTCTCCTTCTCAAAAGGCTAGACTTTGGGGCTTCAGGTAGGAATCAGTGGGTAAAAGCCTATTGGTGAGCAACACTTTTCGCACCCTGAGAAAAGGCTAGTTGAGCCCAGCTCCGAGTACAAGCCCGGGGTTTTTAAGACTTTACAATACTGCAAAATGAACAAAAAGTTTGGGGTTTGTTTTTCAAAGACCATGCTCAACAGGGTATCTCCTAAAGACAATGTCGTTTCCAACAGCTTTTCTTTCATATTTATTGGTTTCCTCGCTTTAAACACCTCCTAGCTATCATCACCTAAAAACACAGAGAGAAGTAAAAATGCAGAGTACCTTCTTATTCTGCTTTAAGAAGCGGTACCCCAGAGAAAGCTTCTTGTAGGCCTCTCCGTATTTCTCATGCCAGTCTTGCACCGACTTAATGGCCGCTTTCCTCAGTTTCTGTGCCACCTCTTTGGGTGGGGGAAGAGGTTGGTCATGGTCTATCCCCACCGTGAGCTCCAAGAACTCTTGGAAGTTGGAAATGATTAGCGCCCGGAATTGATGGGATCGGATGAACAACTCCTGCACGATCTGGAAAGCAGAGAAGCGCACCTCGGCGTGCTCCTCGTTGAGCCGCGTCATCAGCAGGTGATAGGCATGGCTGATATGTTCGTCTGAAGACCTGAGAAAGGAGAAATAAATAAAAAAAGGAGGGGGGGTTATTTAAAAAGGGGTTTAGCACATGAAAACACTTTTTTTAAAATTTATTTTAAATTTTAAACCAGCAGCCTCCGTGCTGGCAGCAAGCTGCGCCCGGCTCAAACAGCAGGCCGCGGGACGG